TATAAAAATACGACGAATGTTTGCAGACTCCACAAACATTTCATCTTGATGGCTTTGCAGGCGAATTTAAATTCAGTAATCATTTCAGTATGTTAAAATTGTTCTTCCACATGTTGTTCTTGTCGCTGTTGTGTGCCTGTATGCCGTTGCTGGTGCATGGATTTTCTACAGTCTTGAATCGCCGCATGAAGATAAGGTTTGTTCAAAGGACGTTGCCCTGACCTGGAATTTTTTGGCAGTGGTGAGATCTTCTGACTTGATATTTCGAAAACATGGAGAAGTTCAAAACTTCTCTGCTTGATCAATATCTCTTCAGATTGTAATTAAAAACGAAATCGGGATGGCCACCATGTTTCGCGTTCGTAGGCAAAAAGTAGCAATGATACAAGATTTTTACAGTGCTATCTTATTGGTGATCCCAACGTCTGTTCATCTCCATCATTTCAAAGTTTTTCGGGAAAAAACATTTAAGATTTCAGCTATATAGTGTCTTTGGCACTGTCATCTCGTTTTCAGTGTGCTATTCACAGTACTACCTTATCGAAAGCGAATAATATGTTGGTAGGCGTTCAAATTTCGGCGTGAAATTTTTTGTTGTAGCTGAAAAAAATTGGAGTGCAAAGTATCAAGGAGCTGCGAAAAGAATTGGTCCAGGTGCTGTGGTCAAAGCGTGATCAGATGAAGACAGCAGGGATGCACAGCTGGACACGGCTGACCGATACAAAACTCCAAAAATTCAATGAATATTTGTACAAAGCCTTTAAGGAGCAATACGTAAGGCTCGTAACATTTGCTTCTCATCAATAAAATAAAACCAAAATTCTTCCTGAATTTGTCTTTTAAGACAAATAAAAACATTTTTGAAATAGCCCGGTTGATAGCAAATGCTCGCAACAACGACAAGCTGATAAGGCTGTCAACAGTTCCCGCATTTTGAGGGCAGTTTACAAGCAAGCTGATGGCAGGTTTGACTTCCTCACATCAAGTTACTATCGAAACGAATGAATGAATCGAAAAGTGGCTGATTGTTCAACGGTTGGGACTGGACCACTGACCTTGGCAGAGTACGTCAATGTATTTTGAGCTTGGAGCTGCAAAGTTTGTACTTCACCGCCCTTAGTCCGTTGCCGCTCCTACGCCGGTGAATTGTTTGGGTCGGAATTTCCATC